TAGAAAGGAGAATAAAGTAACATTTAAGTACTAGAGGAAGTGAAGAATTTTTAGTGCAGTGTTCAAAAAAGGTAGCAGAGATGGAAAAGAATTTGCAATGGTGGGTGATTTAATCATGACCAAGTTATTTTATCTATAAATATTATGGAATTGGTTTGTGGATGTTCTCATGATATTGAATATTTTTTTGGTGTCTATTAGAAAAGAGAGCGGGGTTGAATTTCTTTCATGAGTGTAGATTTGTAGGCTTTGTTGCCACCTTTTATAAGATGATTGCAAAAGTGTTCCTCTCAAGAATAAAAGAGGAGTCAAGACTATTTATACAACATTAGGAACTTTTGCAAGAATTGACAAACCTTGGATGTAGCTCTAATTGCTAATTAGATTTTGGAGTGTAGTAAGTGTTGACACCAGCTTTTAACTCACCAGCATGATCTGCTCCTTTTTTTGATGCCTCCAAGTGTATTTAGAAGGCTAGAGTCTCTTATAAGGTGAAGATTTTGGCTTGGCTTGTTGATTAGAGAAAGAGCAATACAAATGATACCATGCAAAGGGAAAGATTGAGGATGCGCCTTAGCACCTCACGGTGCATTATATGCATGGAAAAGTTGAATGCATATATCATTTCTACCTACACTACCTTAGCGTTCTAAGTTTTTGTTTCAACTTATTACTTCACTTCCAAGATTTATTGGGTGTTGCCGAGGTTGTGTGATCTTTTTTGATCGGAAGTCATAAAGATGTAACAGGTAAAAGAAAATCTTAGTGATATGGCATTGCTTGAGGGCTATTCTTGGGGTAATTGGATTGAGAAAAATAAAAGATTTTTTTATCAAGTAGAAAATGGATCAAGCAAATGAGTTAAATTCTGATGTGATATTGAACAGTTCTTGTGTAAGCCTGTGGAAATTTGTATCTCAATCTTTTCCTGTACTTTTCTCTCCTTTGAAACTCCACTTTGTATTTTATTTTCTTTGTTTTTATATGATTTGAAAATATCATAATGTTTCTATGGAAAATAGAGTAGTTTATTCTTTGTGAAATAGGTAAAGCTGTTTTCCCTTTACCATTTGCTTGAGAATGTTGATTTAAATTTATTGAAAAGGGATTTTATTGTTTGGAGACTTTAGTCTTGGTTATTTCCCTTGTGAAGTTGCCTTTTTAAATAGATCATTGATGATTCTTTCACTTCCTTGATTTCAATCATGTCGATGTGGGAGGTGAAAATCAAGTGTAAGGTGCAGTTTTTTTCTTGGTGTTGTTACCCAAAATATGGTAACCACCCACAGGGGGTTGAATTGGGGTTTAGAGTGACTAATTGCATTTTTTGCACAATTAAACTTTAATGCATTTTAAGTATGTGAACAAGATTAAACAAAATTAATTTTGCACGATTAGCCAACTGTGGGTTTCAGTATCTAAAAGAATTTTGTGATACTTTCTTTTCTGTTCTTAGAGATAAGCAGTCTGTTTTAGCTTAAGTTTGGGGTTCTTTGCTTTGATTTTGTATTTTGTAGTATGTTTTGATCTTTTCAGTAGATTGCCGGTGATTTATTTGTACTTAGTATATCTTTTGTCTTTATTGAGTTCTATTTCATGTTTTCTATTTAAAATAAAATAAAACAAAACAAATTCTGTTTGCTAAATCAAGGTTTGGAGATTTCTGATTTGCAAATTACTAAATTTTTGCAATTTTTGTAGTTAGTACCTGCTTGAATATGTCTTAATCTTGTTTTAATTAATTCTCGCAAAATTTTATTGTATTCATTTCTATTTTAAACTGAACAATTATTGTGCTTGGAATTACTTCATCTGGTACCTTTTATTCTTCATGTTACTCACCAGCCGATATCAAATTATGTGTCAGGAAAAGTGGTTGGAGGTTTTGGGCTGTGGGGTTACTGAGCAAGAAATATTGAAGAGAGGTGGAAGATCGAATAATGTTGCTTGGGCTTTTGGACTTGGATTGGAGAGGCTAGCAATGGTTTTATTTGACATACCAGATATCCGGCTTTTCTGGTCAACTGATGAGCGATTTACCTCTCAGGTAGAGTTTCTATAAATTTTTTGTTATTTCTTCCCCATCCTATGTTTTACAGATGTTTTAATCTTTTTAAATAAAGTCCAAGTTTGTATTATTATTATCTGTGAAGTTGACTGTTTGTTTCTTCTTTCCTGAAAAAGGATTTGTGATCCAGTGTGCCTAGATCACTAACATACAGCTATTTTAATGCAGTTTTCCCAGGGCCAATTGGGGATCAAATTCAAGCCATTTTCGAAGGTATAATTATGTTTTTTCTGTTCTTTTTGTGAATCTTGATTGACAAGTTTTGCATCACATTCTTGCTTACATTATTGATGTTGCTTAATGCAGTTTGTCTTTGTTTCTTTAAATTGTAGCCAAATCTGTGTTACAGCTATTTTACTTCGGAGTACAGTTATGTAGATATGTGCATGGAACTGTTATAGCTGCATGTGAACACATACTTAGAAGCTGAATTGTCTTTTGCAGTTTCCTCCTTGCTACAAAGACATGAGTTTTTGGATCAATGAATCATTCACTGAAAACAATTTATGTGAGGTTATAAGAGGAGTTGCAGGGGATCTTGTTGAAGAGGTAAGTCTTTTTGCTAGATTTTCTCTCTCCTGGAGCCATAAAGTTGTACATTCTCCACTAAAACGAGAAAAATAAACTATTTATGCAGTTTCTAGTGTTGAGTACTTATTGGAGTTTGTTGATGATCCACCTAGGAAGTGTCTAAACTCCGTACAATTGAATCTAAATCAAGTTTATTGTTCAAAAGTTTGAACCCACACTAATATAAGTCTCTCTGGTTAATTGAGTTGCTGACACATCATCCCTATCCATCGATGTCGTAACCGCCTGAAGTGATGAGCCATAACATGGCAGTATGTCTCCCTCCTAGTGATTAATACTGGAAGATTTTGAAACATAGCCTTGAATTCCTCTATCCTGTGCACCTTAAGATTTTTTTTTTTTTTTTCAATTTCTTACTTTAAGTCGGGCATGTTTCTTTCAGCTTATTTCCATGTCATACCCTCCCACACAGATATGCATATTAGTATTGCCTTAGTGTAGAAACCAACAATCACAATGGTGCAAGAGAAGAGGAAAACAGGCCTTGAATGCATCCGTCTCTTCTTTTCAGCAGTTTTTTTTAGGAGTAGATGAGTTAGTGAAGCCAATGTTGATAGACAGATGTGAAAGTGGCTTGAATGGAGAAGATGTGAAGGCATGGCTTAGAAATCCTTGGAAAAATCTTTCATTATGAGACTGCAGGGTCTTGGATTATGTAATACAAATCTCTAGAATAACTGATAGAAATGAATAAAAAGATGTGTCTATTGACCATCTGTAACCTGGGGAATATTTCCATAAATACTGCTATATATTTCTTGGCATAATAAGTATTCTTCTCTGAATTTACCTTCATTGTTAACTTCATTTGTGATTGCCAGGTTCAATTGATAGACAATTTTACCAACAAGAAAGGAATGACTAGCCATTGTTATAGGATCGCATATCGGTCAATGGAGCGTTCACTTACAGATGATGAAATTAACGAGTTGCAGGTAGGTTTTTATGTTGTGTACTTCATTTACCCTTTCCTCATTATGCGTTTGATATATATTCTTTCAACTTATTAAGAACCATGACTGTGAATGCAGTGGAATGTGAGGGACCAGGTGGAGAAGAAGTTAAATGTTGTTCTAAGATGAGAGTTTCCGGTGCTACCAACTTTATGCAGGATCTTAAATTAAGTGATTGAAGTCTTTAATTTGTACACTAGATTTTGATTATAAGTTAAACTGCGCCAAAAACTGGAGAAATTTGGGTATTACGCCCACAAACACAAAAATGCACCTCAGGTTTGAAATAATATTTTTGAGATTACAGGGGATGTTTCTTATGTTTTCCAAACCAGGTGTTGTAATTAGAATTTGGAAAAACCTTAGGGTAGGTCTTTGCAATTTAGGCTTTTGTATTTCCAATTGGCTCAAAACAGAAGCACTGTTGTGTTTGTTTCACTGTATAATGAAACAAAGATTCACCAATGATATGAGAAATAAGATTTTTTAACATTATTGGATTGATATCGTAGTATGAAAAATCCTTTTATTTTTCTAAGTAAAACACATAAAATATTAAGAAACTGTTGTTTGGTTGAAACGGTTTCAGTGAAATCTTTTCTTTATTTTCATTTTAACTTTAAAAATGGTTTTTAAATATAATATTAAAAATGGCTTTGAACTGGTTGTATGTGAATGTGAGGAAAGAAAAGAAGTCCTTTGGGGATGCTGGTAAAAGTTATCATAATTAGGGCTGTGCAAAATTATTCACTATTCGAACTGATTATGATACTTGAATTGAACTGAATTGAAATTTTCGGATACCCTAAAATTTGGTTTGGTTATCGAGTATACTTACAAGGGTACTTGAATATTCGGGTGGAGTCAGAAAATTGGGGTACTTGAATATTCAGGTTGGGTCAGAAAATTGCAAAACTAGTTCAGGTGCCCAATTTTGCACAGCCCTAATCATAATTGAAGTTTTTAACTCTTTGTTTTAAGGTATAACATCCCTTTTTAAGTTTTTAGGATTCCGTTGGATTGATGATATAATTCAAAGCAATAGGGTAGATTAGATTTTGGTTGATCCTATATAAGTGGGGAGGCATTTTGGTACCTTGTTAGAGATCCATCTTTAGTAATTTTATGAAATATATTATTGTAACTAAATTTAAAAAAAAAAAAAAAAAACTTTTATAATATTTTAAATTTATTTTAGGAAATGATTTTAAAATTCTATCAATGTTAAAAACAAAAACATCGTAAGGCCCATGAAGCCCAATGAATCGGGTCGAGTCATAGCAAACTCATTTTACCTAAAGCCCAATTAATGGTAAAGGAATCACGAAATAACTTACTTGTTACGTCTAAGTCACCAACTAACATTCGAAAGGGGGGTTTGGTTTAAGATAACTATAACCTAGTGTTTGCGGTTGAAACAGAAAGCCAGAGAGAAGCAAAAGTTTGTGTTTAACTATGAGGTTGAACAGGTATACGTTGATATTATTGAGTGCTACCGTTTTGCTTTGTGGGTTCTTTGGATTGGGTCTTTCTCAAGACGACAGTTTCATCAAGATGAAGCTCGGAGGCGTTCACGATTGCAAGGGCTCCCAAAACAGCGCTGAGATCGAAAGCCTTGCACGATTCGCTGTTCAAGAACACAACAAGAAAGAGGTTTTTTATTTTTGGTTTTCTTGATTAGAATATATTCTCTCTCTCTCTCTCTCTCATCTTTATATTCTTCTTGGGTTTTTATTTTTGTGTCGTTCTGGAGTCCTTTTAGTTTGATTGTTTGAAATTTTATTTTCGGGAATCTGAAGTATAATTATGTTGATGCCTTTGCTAATTTTGTTTAATGATTTGCAATTTTTGCTGGAAGTATTAATTAACAGTCCGATGTGAATAAAACATATGTAAAATTGAGTAGTTTATGGAATATAATTTTTGTATTGGGGGAATACTGGGAAGAAAAATTTAATGAAGTTTATTGATGGAGATCTTTTAAGTGAAGTTCATTCATTTTCTAATGAAAAATTGTGCAATTCCAGTTTTGTTTTTTTTTTATTTTTTGATATGAAATCTTATATCATGTATTAATTGCTTAATTTTTGAATTTGACAGAATGCTCTTCTTGAGTTCGCAAGGGTGTTGAAGGCCAGGGAACAGGTGGTTGCTGGCATGATGTATCATCTTACTCTCGAAGCAGTTGATGCTGGCAAGAAGAAGATATATGAAGCCAAAGTGTGGGTGAAGCCATGGATGAACTTCAAGCAGTTAGAGGAGTTTAAGCATGCTGATGATGGGCCTTCATTCACTCCTTCAGACCTCGGCGTCAAACAAGGTAATGGATCATTTTAGTTGTGTTTATATCTTGAAGTTCCATACTGATACCTACATCAGATGTCTGTTTGTAACAGACTTAAAGAGTGCTTTTGTTATTTTTTTCTCGTATTATTGGAATGCCTGATGTTAGTAGATGTTTTAAATAGCTTGTTTGTCTGTAGCAACGAAGTCTGTTTGAGACTTAATTTATACTCAACAAATATGTACTTTGTTGCTTGTGATGCTTAATTCTTTTGATCCTTAGAAACTGCTTAACCAATTTAAATCTATCCTTAGAAAGAACTTTGACCTGGTTGTGTGGGGAAACCAAGGAAATAAATCCTATTGGGACTTATCATTGTTTTAGGTGCTTGTAAAAGCTCTTCTAATTGATTTTTTTAATCTTTGGTTTAGGGCATAACATCTCTTTAAGTTTTCAGGATTCTGATGGGTTCATCGTATAATTCAAAGAAATAGGCTTAGATTAGATTTAGTTGATTCTATAAAAGTGGGGGAGGCATTTTCATCGAATCAAGTTTTAGTACCTTTGTTAGGGATCCATCTTGAAAAAGGATAAAGAAAAGAAAACAATAAGTTAAGCAATTATTTGTATTGGAAGTTCTTTAAATCTTTACTGCAGAATTAACTCCTCAACACTTGTGCAATTAAACTTCACTTGGTCATTTTCTTTGTTGGTGTTTACATTATATATATGTGTACCATTATATTTTCATACTAATACTTTACATTAAAAGATGGAGGCTGTGACGTGGAAGGTAATTTATTTTGTATTGTTTTAAGATGGTTATAGTACTTGCATGGTCTTGGTTGGCATTCATTTGGTTCTAGAGTGGGCATGGTAGGCTTTGGTCTTCTTTCTAATTGTCTTTAAATGTTCAGTTATCCTTGTATTATTTGTAGAAGTGTGTAGGGGTATTGCGTGCTTCCTCAACCTGTTTTTTCTGCTATTCTCTTGGTCATATCTGAACCATTACTATGAACTGCAAACATTTAGTATCATCAAATGAGGTGAAGACAAAGAGTAACTATATAATTCCACTGCTAGTTTTTAACCGAGATAAACTTAGGAATGACATATTTTAACTCCCAACAATAAATACTGAGTCTTGATCTATTTATTTATTCAAATGATGCTCTTGGGAGCCTTCTTATGAGTTTTGAACTCCTTTTACACTTCCTCATATTTTTAACTCTTTCCTATTTGAAAATGACAATTATATCCTCTTTACTACCAAAGCAACCAAAAGAATAAAGCCAAGAGACTATATTGCAACTCTTGCACCATCTTTGCAAACCTTTCAATACATCTTATGTGTTCCAGGATACCCAAGAAATTGTCTTGCGATTGTAAGACACTTGCTTCAAAACTGTCTTGTTAATCATTCATCATATCTTTGCTAGACCTAGTTTGAGTATAGGCTATTTCTGTCTTTTTATTTGCCACAGGGTTAAAGATCATTATATGATATATGTTGTGAGGAGGTATTAAGTCACATAATTCCTGTATCTTGACCCCCAGCTAAGAGTTTAATGAATTTGATCCTTCTTACAAAAGAAAAGGGCATGAATACTGCATACTTAAGATAGTTTCTTATAATGTGCAAATATTTTGCTAGTCACATTGCAACATATTATTGAATACAAGATGTTTTCCCTCTTCTATTTTATTATTTGAGAATTGAGAGTTCCATTCAGCATTCATTAATTCCGTTATTAGACAAGAAACACAGAAACAAGGAAGAAGTAGTGATTGATTGGATGCATTTTTTAAAATCAGATGGCCATGGTCTAGAATGGCAGGCAGTGCCAACAAATGACTTTGAGGTCCAAAGTGCAGCAAGTCATGCTGTGAAGTCCATCCAGCAGAGGTCCAACTCATTGTTTCCATATGAGCTTTTAGAGATCCTTCATGCTAAGGCCAAGGTTGGCATTTCACATTGTTTTGCAATATTTGTTTTTAGATTAGTATTTTATGCAACTTTGGATTCTTGATCTTTTTTGATGATATAACCATGAATCATACTACTTTTCACCCTTGGATCTTCGTCCAAGGGATCATGTAATTAAATTGATTGGTTAACTCCTTTTCTTTCAACCAACATATTCTCCCTCTCTCCTAGGCCAGGGTTTTGCTCATCTGTTAAAAGCCTGCCCAATTACAAATATATAAATTTGTATTTTACTGAAGTAATCTTGATTAAATGCAGGTCCTTGAAGATTATGCCAGATTCGAGCTGCATCTGAAGTTGAGGCGGGGAATTAAAGAAGAGAAGTTCTGTGTTGAAGTAATAAAGAACAGTGAAGGAAAGTTTCATTTGAATTAGATGGAGTTCTATTACTCCTGGATTTAGCATACTATGTTAACATGTTTAAAACCATGGATTGAGGCTTGCTATCTACTACATACGATTGGAACAATAAAAATGACAAATTAATAACTACACTTTTATTGTAAATATGTAAATTTAACGTCTACGGTGTAATAATGTGTTGATATCCTCTTTATATAGTGTTATATATGTGTATATATATGAGCCAACTATATTCATATTCTTCTTGTGTCTAGAACTATATATGTGAGTCACCAACCTTCATATTGTTGGTGGAGGATCATGGAAGTTATGATGCACTCTTTTTAGTTTGTGGGTTTCACCCTTCAGAGAATTGGTTTCTTTATTATTAATTGATGCAAAATGGACCATTTGCAATTAATGGTTGATTTGATCACTTGGAAACCTGGACTAATCGGTTATCCTTGATCACAGATAGAATGAAATGGTCTCAGGAATTGCTTTTGTGATGGGGAATTATTTTATTTTAACTACCCAATATATACCTAAGCGTATTGCAGGATCGAAAATTTCTTCGAGCCGGAAACAATGAAAAGCTAGTCACTCTTTTAGTTAATGAATAGAAAAGAATTTTTAGGATCCTCTTGTTTTCTTTAATAAATTCGTTTTAGTGCTTTTTGAAAATATTTAAAAAGGGTTTTTAAATGAAATAACCATATCTTGGGGGTTTTAGTAATTAGGCAAAAATCTAAACCCTATGCCAATTAACCAACTGACTTAATTAAATACCATTTTATCCTCATCCCTAACCTCCCAACGCTTTATCTATAACCCTAACAATTTCTAAGTCTTATTTGCAAAATGTCACACCCAAAATATGATATCAAGCAAGGAAAATTAGTATATCTAGGTATTAAGATCAATCTTAACTTTAAATTCTTAGATCTATCATTTTTTGAAATTTTAAATTAGAGGGGTTGTGTTTTGTTATTGTTTATATTTTTGTTAATAAGTATTGTTTTAAGATTTAAGAGTAAATAAATAGTGTAATGTTTGTTATGTTGTGGTAATAAAATAGATTTAGCAATGCATTATCCAAGAAACCAACGTATGGAGAAAATCCCAACAGTTGGCGCAAAAATTTATAGTTGGCAAGAATATCAGGCCCTCAAGTTTTTTGAAAAAAGAGAGTAAATGACATATTCCCACCCAAGGTTTGATGAAATCCCAAGTTGGTACCCTAAGTTTCATTTATTCCAGATTCTCACCCTTAAAGTAACGGAAAATGGTTAGATATAACGGCTCAGGGGTAAATTGATCATTTTGCAGAGGAGGTGCACATCAGCAGATCGCTGCCCCTAACAAAGCTCCGACGCACGTTAGCCAACACCACCGCTGACGTTTTTCACTCTTTTCCGGCGATTCTTCCACCCAAAATCACCCTTGTCACCACCATTCGAACCCTCATCCTCCCCTCTACAAAACCGTACCCTTCACAAACCCTCATCACTCGCCGATCGCCAGCCACGACAGCCGCCACAGGTGACTGGTTTTTGTCGGTCTCCACCAGCGAATGGCCACTAAACGGTTGCTGGGGACATAGGGGTTTTGTAGATTTGGAGATGCTAGTTGAAGTGCTGATGTCCAATTGCATTTTCGTCATCGGAATCGATCGGAATCTAGCGAAGAATGACAAAAACATAAGCTTGACAGCGCCAGCGATTAGAGGGCCCAATGAGTCGGGAACCAGAGGGGTTTTGGACGACGAAAACGATGGGGAAGGTGATGGAGGTGACCAGGGGGTTCGCCGCCATCGGAAACAGCCCAGATCCGGTGAAAACCGAGACGCTGCATAGTCACTGAGGGTGTAATTGAAGTAATTTCAAAATAAGATGGTTAATTTTATAATTTTAGTAATTTAGGGGTTAAAACATAATTTATCAATTTAGGGTTAAGGGTATTATGGTAATTGCATCCTCACTACCCTAAAAATTATTAACAGTGTTANCGACTCACGAACATCTTCATCTGCTTCTAACTTCTAAGGAACACTGCCCAACAAATCAAACCAAAATTTAATTAGCATGCATATTAACGAAAAAAAAGAAGTTAAAATGACGTTAAATATGTAAGAGAATATTATGTTATATCGTAGAATGTTAGAATTATGCAGAATGCAAATGCACAGAAGCTCACGTGCTACAATCGACGTCCTTGGTGATGGGAACGCCGATCTGAACGCCACAAGCTTGTGGAAGTTGGCTGGCCTTGTCCGGCTTGAGGCTGGCATAGCGACCGGCAGCCTCTTTCATACACTCACAGGCTGCTCGTCTATCACCGGTGGTTGGAGTCATTGCTTTCAGATTCCTGACACCGTCGCAGCAGACCGGTGAGGGGCCTGGTCCGCCGGTGAGAAACTCCAAGCAGTGAGCGAGAGCTGAGTCAACTTGTCCGCAACTTATGGCCCGGCCAGGCTCCACCGTCAAGAGAAGCACGGTTAGCACCTTTACCAGAATCCGACCGTTGCCCACGTTTCCCCTTACCTCTCCCTCCAGCTGTCGCCCCCTCCGGCAATTCTGCGGCCGTGGCCGCAGCCATAACATGCGCAGACTTGGAGGCTACAAGTCCTCGGCCACGGAAATGGTGGAACTGTCTACAAAGTCCGTTATATAAACGGACTGACAAGATATTTGCTTTGAAAGTTGTCCACGGCGAGAGCGACTCCACCCTCCGCCGCCAAGTCTTCCGCGAAATGGAAATCCTCCGCCGTACCGACTCTCCTTTCGTCGTCCAGTGCCACGGCGTCTTTGAAAAACCGTCAGGGGATATTGCCATGGTGATGGAGTACATGGACGGCGGCACTCTCGAAACATTACTACAAAAAAAGGGGATTTTCTCTGAACAAAATGAGGACGCCCGTCCCTTGTATATGGACCTCGTCTATATAATATGGACGGATGTCCATGTGAGTGAACGACCGTTCAAATTTGATGGACGGTCGTTCACTAGAAAAAAATTGTTAAAAAAATCAGAGACGTGTTACACGTAGGCTGGTACACAATTTCGATACAAATTTTTCGGCGTGTGTAGCTTTATTGCCCAATATATACCTAAGCGTATTGCAGGATCGAAAATTTCTTCGAGCCGGAAACAATGAAAAGCTAGTCACTCTTTTAGTTAATGAATAGAAAAGAATTTTTAGGATTCTCTTGTTTTCTTTAATAAATTCGTTTTAGTGCTTTTTGAAAATATTTAAAAAGGGTTTTTAAATGAAATAACCATATCTTGGGGGTTTTAGTAATTAGACAAAAATCTAAACCCTATGCCAATTAACCAACTGACTTAATTAATTACCATTTTATCCTCAGCCCTAACCTCCCAACGCTTTATCTATAACCCTAACAATTTCTAAGTCTCATTTGCAAAATCTCACACCCAAAATATGATATCAAGCAAGGAAAATTAGTATATCTAGGTATTAAGATCAATCTTAACTTTAAATTCTTAGATCTATCATTTTTTGTAATTTTAAATTAGAGGGGTTGTGTTTTGTTATTGTTTATATTTTTGTTAATAAGTATTGTTTTAAGATTTAAGAGTAAATAAATAGTGTAATGTTTGTTATGTTGTGGTAATAAAATAGATTTAGCAATGCATTATCCAAGAAACCAACGCATGGAGAAAATCCCAACAGTTGGCGCAAAAATTTGTAGTTGGCAAGAAGTATCAGGCCCTCAAGTTTTTAAAAAAAGAAGAGTAAACGCCATATTCCCACCCAAGGTTTGATGAAATCCTAAGTTGGTACCCTAAGTTCCATTTATTCCAGATTCCCACCCTTAAAGTAACGGAAAATGGTTAGATATAACGGCTTAGGGGTAAATTGGTCATTTTGCAGAGGAGGTACACATCAGCAGATCGCTACCCTTGACAAAGCTTCGGTGCATGTTAGCCAACACCACCGCCAACGTTTTTTGCTCTTTTCCAGCGATTCTTCCACCCAAAATCACCCTTGTCACCACCATTCGAACCCTCATCCTCCCCTCTACAAAACCGTACCCTTCACAACCCTCATCACTCGTCGATCGCCAGCCACGACAGTCACCACAGACGACTGGTTTTCGTCGGTCTCCACTGGCGAATGGCCGCTAAACGGTTGCTGGGGACATAGGGGTTTTGTAGATTTGGAGATGCTAGTTGAAGTGGTGATGTCCAATTTCATTTTCGTCGCCGGAATCTAGCGAAGAACGATAAAAACCTAAGCTTGACAGCGCCGACGATTGGAGGGCCCAATGAGTCGGAAACCAGAGGGGTTTTGGACGACGGACGATGGGAAAGGTGATGGAGGTGACCAGGGGTTCGCCGCCATCGGAAACAGCCCAGATCTGGTGAAAACCGAGACGGTGCACAGTCACTGAGGGTATAATTGAAGTAATTTCAAAATAAGATGGTTAATTTTATAATTTTCGTAATTTAGGGGTTAAAACATAATTTATCAATTTAGGGTTAAAGGTATTATGGTAATTGCACCCTCACTACCCTAAAAATTGTTAACAGAGTTATTTTAAGGGTGGGAATCTAGAATAAATGAAACTTGGGGTACCAATTTAGGATTTCGTCAAACCTTGGGTGGGAATATGTCATTTACTCAAAAAAAAATTATTAATATATAGATCCAAAAAAATTGCTATTAATACATATACTTAGACCCACCTTCGGATTTTAAAAAAATGAGAATTATTATACATGTATCTAGGTCTTTAAAAAACTTGCTATTAATATATATATTCCAAACCCACATCAGTTTAAAACTCTCTCCACTCTTCTTCTCCATGGCTCCACTTGCTTCTTATGATTTTATCCCCCAAATTTTTTACTCTCTCATTCTTTCTCTTCCTCATGCTATTCAATCTTTAAACTTTTGAAGACTAAAATTGTTAAAGCTTTTACTACTCAAGGTGTCAAAATTAACTCTGTTTTCTATTTTATCAGTTTTAGGTATGTGTATTGCTCATTTGAATTTAGTTTATTTTAGGGTTGAATCTTGCTTTTTTTTTTTTTGGAGGTTTTTTATTCAAATTTGAGGGGAAAAGACATGAATCATGTAAGTTTATTTTGTATTTTGTATCTAAGAATGAACTTGCTTTCCCAAATTAAAACATCAAATATATTTTAAAAGATGTTATTCTTCACCCTTCACCCACCACTTTCCTACATTTCAAACGTC